TTCACAATTTGTATGGAAATACAAAAAACCTCGAATAGCCAAAGTAATCCTGAGAAAGAAGAATGGAACTGGAGGAATCAATCTGCCTGACTTCAGACTATACTACAAAGCCACAGTCATCAAGACAGTATGGTACTGGCACAAAGACAGAAATATAGATCAATGGAACAGAATAGAAAGCCCAGAGATAAATCCACGAACCTATGGTCACCTTATCTTCGACAAAGGAGGCAAGGATATACAATGGAAAAAGACAACCTCTTTAACAAGTGGTGCTGGGAAAACTGGTCAACCACCTGTAAAAGAATGAAACGAGAACACTGTCTAACACCATACACAAAAATAAACTCAAAATGGATTAGAGATCTAAATGTAAGACCAGAAACCATAAAACTCCTAGAGGAGAACATAGGCAAAACACTCTCCGACATAAATCACAGCAGGATCCTCTATGACCCACATCCCAGAATTTTAGAAATAAAAGCAAAAATAAACAAATGGGACCTAATGAAACTTAAAAGCTTTTGCACAACAAAGGAAACTATAAGCAAGGTGAAAAGACAGCCCTCAGATTGGGAGAAAATAATAGCAAACGAAGCAACAGACAAAGGATTAATCTCAAAAATATACAAGCAACTCCTCCAGCTCAACTCCAGAAAAATAAATGACCCAATCAAAAAATGGGCCAAAGAGCTGAACAGACATTTCTCCAAGGAAGACATACAGATGGCTAACAAACACATGAAAAGATGCTCAACATCACTCATTATCCGAGAAATGCAAATCAAAACCACAATGAGGTACCATTACACGCCAGTCAGGATGGCTGCTATCCAAAAGTCTACAAGCAATAAATGCTGGAGAGGGTGTGGAGAAAAGGGAACCCTCTTACACTGTTGGTGGGAATGCAAATTAGTACAGCCACTATGGAAAACAGTGTGGAGATTTCTTAAAAAGCTGGAAATAGAACTGCCATATGACCCAGCAATCCCACTTCTGGGCATACACACCGAGGAAACCAGATCTGAAAGAGACACGTGCACCCCAATGTTCATCGCAGCACTGTTTATAATAGCCAGGACATGGAAGCAACCTAGATGCCCATCAGCAGACGAATGGATGAGGAAGCTGTGGTACATATACACTATGGAATATTACTCAGCCATTAAAAAGAATTCATTTGAATCAGTTCTAATGAGATGGATGAAACTGGAGCCCATTATACAGAGTGAAGTAAGCCAGAAAGATAAAGACCATTACAGTATACTAACACATATATACGGAATTTAGAAAGATGGTAACGATAACCCTATGTGCAAAACAGAAAAAGAGACTCCGATGTATAGAACAGACTTGTGGACTCTGGGAGAAGGCGAGGGTGGGATGTTTCAAGAGAACAGCATCGAAACACGTATATTATCTAGGGTGAAACAGATCACCAGCCCAGGTTGGGTGCATGAGACAAGTGCTCGGGCCTGGTGCACTGGGAAGACCCAGAGGGATTGGGTGGAGAGGGAGGTGGGAAGGGGGACCGGGATGGGGAATACATGTAAATCCATGGCTAATTCATTTCAATGTATGACAAAAACCACTGCAATGATGTAAAGTAATTAGCCTCCAACTAATAAAAATAAATGGAAAAAAAAATAATAATTTTGTTAATTTGGTTCTTCTCCCTTTGTTTCTTAATGAGTCTTGCTAATGGTTTGTCAATTTTGTTTATTTTTTCAAAAAACCAGCTTTTAGCTTTGTTGATTTTTGCTATGGTCTCTTTTTTTATGGTTTCTTTTGCATTTATTTCTGCCCTGATTTTTAAGATTTCTTTCCTTCTACTAACCCTGGGGTTCTTCATTTCTTCCTTCTCTAGTTGCTTTAGGTGTAGAGTTAGGTTATTTATTTGACTTTTTTCTTGTTTCTTGAGGTAGGCCTGTAATGCTATGAATCTTCCCCTTAGCACTGCTTTTACAGTGTCCCAAAGGTTTTGGGTTGTTGTGTTTTCATTTTCATTCATTTCTATGCATATTTTGATTTCTTTTTTGATTTCTTCTATGATTTGTTGGTTATTCAGAAGCGTGTTGTTTAGCCTCCATATGTTTGAATTTTTAATAATTTTTTTCCTGTAATTGAGTTCTAATCTTACTGCACTGTGGTCAGAAAATATGACTGGAATGATTTCAATTTTTTTGAATTTACCAAGACTAGATTTATGGCCCAGGATGTGACCTATTCTGGAGAAGGTTCCGTGTGCACTTGAGAAAAAGGTGAAGTTGATTTTTTGGGGGTGAAACGTCCTATAGATGTCAATTAGGTCTAGCTGGTCCATTGTGTCCTTTAAAGTTTGTGTTTCCTTGTTCATTTTCTGTTTAGTTGATCTATCCATAGTTGTGAGTGGGGTATTAAAGTCTCCTACTATTATTGTGTTACTATTAATTTCCTCTTTCATACTCGTTAGCGTTTGCCTTACATATCGTGGTGCTCCTATGTTGGGTGCATATATATTTATAATTGTTATATCTTCTTCTTGGATTGATCCTTTGATCATTATGTAGTGTCCATCTTTGTCTCTTTTCACACCCTTTATTTGAAAGTCTATTTTATCTGATATGAGTATTGTGACTCATATCAGAGTATTGCGACTCTCCATTTGCGTGGAATATTTTTTTCCAGCCCTTCACTTTTAGTCTGTATGTGTCCCTTGCTTTGAGGTGGGTCTCTTGTAGACAGCATATATAGGGGTCTTGCTTTTGTATCCATTCAGCCAGCCTTTGTCTTTTGGTTGAGGCATTCAACCCATTTACATTTAAGGTAATTATTGATAGGTATGGTCCCGTTGCCATTTATTTTGTTGTTTGGGGTTCACGTTTATACCACCTTTCTGTGTTTCCTGTCTAGAGAAGATCCTTTAATATTTGTTGAAGAGCTGGTTTGGTGGTGCTGAATTCTCTCAGCTTTTGCTTGTCTGTAAAGCTTTTGAATTCTCCTTCATATCTGAATGAGATCCTTGCTGGGTAGAGTAATCTAGGTTGTAGGTTATTCTCTTTCATTACTTTAAGTATGTCCTGCGATTCCCTTCTGGCCTGCAGGGTTTCTGTTGATAGATCAGCTGTTATCCTTATGGGAATCCCTTTGTGTGTTATTTGTTGTTTCTCCCTTGCTGCTTTTAATATTTGTTCTTTGTGTTTGATCTTTGTTAATTTGAGTAATATGTGTCTTGGGGTGTTTCGCCTTGGGTTTATCCTGTTTGGGACTCTCTGGGTTTCTTGGACTTGGGTGGCTATTTCCTTCCCCATTTTAGGGAAGTTTTCAGCTGTTATCTCCTCGAGTAACTTCTCATGGCCTTTCTTTTTGTCTTCTTCTTCTGGGACTCCTATGATTTGAATGTTGCTGCGTTTCACATTGTCCCAGAGGTCTCTGAGGTTGTCCTCATTTCTTTTGATTCTTTTTTCTTTTTTCCTCTCTGCTTCATTTATTTCCACCATTTTATCTTCTAACTCACTTATCCTATATTCTGTCTCTGTTATTCTACTCATGGTTCCCTCCAGAGTGTGTTTGATCTCATGTATTTCATTATTAATTTTTAATTGACTTTTTAAAATTTCTTCTAGGTCCTTGTTAAACATTTTTTGCATCTTCTCAATCTTTGTCTCCAGGCTATTTATTTGTAACTCCAATTTGTTTTCAAGATTTTGGATCATTTTTGTTATCATTATTCTAAATTCTTTTTCAGGTAGATTCCCTAATTCCTCCTCTTTTGTTTGACTTGGTGGGCTTTTTTCATGTTCCTTTAGCTGTTGGGTATTTCTCTGCCTTTTCATCTTGTTTACATTGCTATGTCTGGAGTGGGCTTTCTGTATTCTTGTGGTCTGTGTCCTTTTTATTGTGGAGGTTTCACCCAGTGGGTGGGGTTGGACGATTTGTTTGTCAAGGTTTCCTGGTTAGGGAAGCTTGTGTCAGCGTTCTGGTGCATGGAATTGGATTTCTTCTCTCTGGAGTGCAATGGAGTGTCCAGTAATGAGTTTTGCGATGGGTCTATGTGTTAGGTGTGACTTTGGACAGCCTGTATGTTGACACTCAGGTCTTTGTTCCTGCGTTGCTAAAGAATTTGCGTGGTATGTCTTGTACTGGAGCTTATTGGCTCTTGGGTGGTGGTTGGTTTTGGTGTAGGTATGGAGGCTTTTGGATGATCTCTTATTCCTTAATGTTCCGTGTAGTCAGGAGTTTTCTGGTTTTCTCAGGTTTTGGGCTTAAGTCTCCTGCCTCTGGATTTCAGTTTTATTCTTCCAATAGTCTCAAGACTTCTCCAACTATACAGCACTGATAATAAGACTTCTAGGTTAATGGTGAAAAGATTCTCCACCGTGAGAGACAACCAGAGAGGTTCACAGAGTTACACGAAGAAGAGGAGAGGGAGGAAGGAGATAGAGGTGAGCAGGAGGAGAAAAAGGGGACTCAAGAGGAGAGAGACAGATCTACGCAGTTATCTGTTCCCAAAGTGTTCTCCGTAGCCCAGACACCCACAAAGATTCACAGAGTTGGATTGGGAAGAGAAGGGGAAAGGAAGAAATAGAGGTGTTCTGAGGTAGAAAACAGAGAGTCAAAAGTGGGAGAGTAATCACCACACTCCTGAATAGAAATGGGAACTGAATATTGGATTCTTAAATGTCCAAAATTTATATCATATACTGAAAAACAAAGTTCAATCCATTTTGAGTTAATTTTTTTATATGATGTAAAAGTCAAATTTCATTCTTTCGCATGTGGATATCAAAAAAAGAGTTTGTATTTTTGTTTGTGATCGCTTCATTTTGCTCTGTACATTTCTGTTTCACTGGTATCCGAAAGGGAATCTTTAAAAACATGTAACAGAGTTGGAACATATGGCTTTAAAAAGCTAAATTGGTAATATCATGGGTCCTATCTTAGAGGAATATTCAGGCCACTGCCTTTCATAGTGTATACTTGTACTTCTGACTCCCCTTTCCTCTCTTTCCTCTTAACAGATTTTCTCAAGGTCAGCAGCTTGTGACCAAATTAGTAACTGCTCCTGTGGCCTGTGGGGCGGTCATGGTACCCAGCGCGATGCTTATGGGTCAGGTGGTGACTGCCTACCCCACCTTTGCCCCACAGCACCCGCAGTCACAGACACTGTCAGTCACGCAGCAGCAGCAGAGCTCCCAGGAGCAGCCGCTCCCGCCAGTTCAGCAGCCGTCGCAGGCTCAGCTGGCTCAGCCGCCGCAGCAGTTTCTACAGGTAATTCTCCCTGCGGAAGAATGTCCCCAACCACTGTACCTTTCTATAGAGAAATTAGGGACTAAATGAACAGTTCTGTAAATGAGCTGAAAAATCTGCACACACTTATTGTACAACTTAAATTTCTATAAAGACAGAAAGCTTATCCCAGTTGGCTATTTTTTCTTCTCTTAGAAAACTTCTAGTCCTGCTGTGGAGATACCCAGTTATCCAAATTGGTGGATACAATACGTGGCTGCTTCCTGCCCACATCAAGGCAATTTACAGAGAGCTCTCTCTGGCTAGAGTTTCTGGAACTCAAGCAAAGGCACCTTTCTCTCTTCTCTTGTTTCCCTAGGGGCCCATCAAGCTGTACTCTCTACAGATTATAAGTATTAAAAGGGTTTTTTAAAAAAATTATTTTAGGCATTATGTTAAATTATTTTATTGAATTAAATTTTATAATAACTTTTGGTTATTAATTAATATTGGAAGAAAAATACTGTGAAGGCACAGGCTGTTCTGAGATTGAGTTACTGCTGTGTGAACTTTGGCAGTTTACTTAACTTGCTCAGATCCAGTTTCCTCATCTGTAATATGAAGGTGCTAGCTCTTCGTATCTCCTGAGTAAGATGCATGTGAATCACTGAGCCTAGTATAAGGTATATACTTAAACACCTTATAAGTATAACTTGCCTTCATAAATGACCACTATCTTTAATAATGTAGTAGATACTCAGATTAACCAAAATGCAGACACAGATCTCTTGTGGGTGTATCAGACAGGATCTGCTTATCTAAAGATGCAGGACAAAGTCACCTAGATTGGGATCCTCAGCAAAGCAGCAGGCAAATTTCTAGACCTCAGTACCCTCTTTGGGGGATCACAATAGCAGATTGTGTCATCTGAAAATCCACCTTTTCCCTTACTGGTCTAAGAAGCCAGCAGTTTTGAATATAGGCTAAGCCATGATTTGTGCTGGATACCATTCCACGTACTCCAGGCAAATATCATCAGTTTTAAAGTTATACAATATATGGTATAATTAGAAGATTTCAGTATTATACTGTATACTCAGGCATAGATACACTGTTAGTTCATCATCATTGGTGTTCTGGTGCAAATATAATTCTTTTTTTTTTTTTTTCTGCAAATATAATTCTTAACTTGATGTGCTAAACTAAAAGAGGTTAGTTACCTAATTATCTCTTGAGAGTCACACAGCCCCTTAGACATTAAGCCATTAATGACTGGGTTGGCTATTGTTATAAATGAATGACAAGAATTTATAATAAGTTAGAAACTATTCTCTAGGGGAAATGTTTTCAGTGAGAATTAGGCAGAAGCTTAGAAAGGAAAAAGACTTGCCTTAGGAACTCAGTTCTTTGAGTCTGAGTCTCTCAGAGAGCAAGGGCTCTTAAAAGAATGAACATTCTCTTCCACTTCTGGGAAAAAAACATTTCAAAGAAGCAAGATAGGCAATACCCTTTAGAAATACACTAATATGTAGATAGAAATACAATTTGCTTTTCTGATTACGTAACACCTAGTTCCAAAATGTACTTTTGTTGTAACCCTATAAGGCTCATAAATACCCTGAATTCTTTATCTTACAAAAACTTTTCCTAATGACAGTGAGAAAAAGAAAGTGTCTCCAGGTGCTTAGCAAAGCTCAGTGGCCTTAAAGGCTCAGAGATCTATCCTGTGTGTTTGTACAGGTGTCTTTCATACACATTTGCAGAAATCACCTGTTACAGTTCCTTTTTAAAATTATGAACCCTGCATCAAGACATATTGACCTTAGTGAAGAAAGATCTTAATTTTAAAATTCCTCTTTCTTTGGACTAGTTTCCTTTGTATCTCTAGAAGGAGAAATTGGGCAAAAGAAACTGAGGTTCATGGCGCTGACACTCGCCCAAGGCCTAACACACACAGAGCAGGACTCACAGCCGGGCTGCTTCTGGTTTCAGATCCTATGCTCCCGTCCTGCTTCGCTGCACGTCACACCACACTGTCACATAAAGGACACAAGTCTTAGTTTTATGGTGCTTTTAAATGATAATGTTGATATTTAATCTTTGTAAAAACCCAGTGTGGGAGGTACTCGGATTATCCTTATTTTGTACATGAAGAAAATGAGGCCCAGAGATGTAAGTAGCTTGCCCATCTGGTAAGCGGGGCAGCCAGACTTTGAACCCAGGCAGTGTACCTCAGGGCCCATGCTCTTGGCCACTGCTGCTCTAACGAGTCAAAAAGCTGGTGCAGAAGGCATTTTCTGTCTGGCCACAGATTGTTGATATGTCGTACACTCTTAGCGATGATTAAATTGTATCATCTGTTTAAAAAACGTGGTCTTTAGGACATAAAGTGAAAGAGTATGTGTGGTTTGTCTCAGGACATAGATAGCTTTCTGTATCATATCTCTAGCTCCATTTCCTTCTAAAAATGAAATTCTGTTATACTTCAAAAAGAGGGAAATGCTCATAAGCATTTTCCAGAATACTATTTTTAAGTGAAAAAAAAAAAAAAACAAGACTTATGTACAGGTTTTGACCCTATGGAGAAGTGGAAAACCTGAGTAGTCTTAATGGACACAGTATAACGGGGGTGAAGCAGTGTTGCATAATCCACTTGTCTTTTTAGACTTCCAGGTTGCTCCATGGGAACCCTTCAGCTCAGCTCATCCTCTCTGCTGCATTTCCTCTTCAGCAGAGCACTTTCCCTCAGTCACACCACCAGCAGCAACAGCAGCAGCTGAGCCGGCACAGGACTGAAAGTTTGACGGATCCTTCCAAGGTTCAGCCACAGTAGCGCACAGGCATCCTCTCTGCCCTCAAGGGAGGATGGGGGTGGTCCATAAAGAGTTGCTCAGATGATCTAAGGATGTGATGAAAAGTTCCAGCGGTTTCATGGGATGCAATACTGAGTGTTCTAGTTCCTGGAATTAGTTAGCAGGGAAAATGCTGCCTAGCACTGCAGATGTACATTAAATACCAGCCAGCAGGAGGTGATCATAGGGCCACAGCCAATTCTGACAGTGTTTTACTTGCCCAGATATTTTTTAATGGAAAAAGAGTATATTGCCAAATGTTAAGAAGCTCAGCTATGAAACAGGACCTCCCGTGAATCAGAAAGGCACTAACAACATTAGTAACTTTGAGAGGTTCTGTGCCTGTTTTCAAGTGTTACAGAGGACACACCACTGCCATCCATGTCAGGGGTTTGCTTGTGATGATGCCATGAAGACAGTCCAGTAGACTCAGTAGACCCCCTTCCCTTTTCAGATAATGATGGAATAGTAAGTAATTTCAGAATGTTGTGTGGGTTCAAATTCTCTATGTATAGATGCTGTAAAAATAATATTATGTATATGTCTGGATAAAAGGAGAGAAAGCAAAACATTTTGTATGCTGCATGAAAGCATTATCTCCTCCTTTAGGTATGAGTACATTTCCTTAGATTCTGACGCCATGTGCAGACTAATACATCCTCTTTTCCCTTTTGTTTACAGTACGGTAGTGTTCTATTCACTCTTCCGGGGCACAAGTCTTTTTTTTTTTTTTTGGTTCATACTTTGACTGTGATGTCACAGTTTGTTCAGTGAGGTATGATGTGCTGCTGGGAATGGAGTTTGTTTTTTTTTTCAGGTTAAATTATTTGAAACAGGATTTTCAAGTTACTCAGAAATATCCCTCATTTCATTATTCTTCAATTATGTTTAAGAATAGGATTTGCACTGCTTTATTTTAAGATGGTTGGGAGTTTTGAGCACATATTTTGATCTAGTTCCTAGTTGGAAATAGTTGTGTAAACGGTTTTTAACAAGCTTGACAGTTATTTCAAGTATGTTTCAGTTATAGGAGTGAATTTGCACACAAAATATTTTAGGCACTTTTTAATGTTCTCACTGGTGGGAATTTTAACTTTTAGGATTTGTTGGAATCTTTTTATTATCCTCCACAATTTCAGTGCTTCTTTTAGTCAGAAATGATTCAGGGTTATTTGAGGGGAAAAAAAAAACCCATAGTGCCTTGATTTTCATTCAGGTGATTACTCACCATCTTGAACTCATTGTCTAGTTTCAGTAGCAGTTTTGAAATCTTGGTACATTTTTAATAGCATGTGGGTGTCAGCACCATTAAGTTCCTAATGAAGACTCTCTGAGTCTCTTGGATTAGAGATACAAATAATTTCAAAATAAAAGATAACATCCTAGTGACACTATTCAGAATTACTATTGTGATCACAAAGTTGTTTTTCTAAATCAGCATTTTCCTTAAATCTATGTATTCATTTAGGAATTACCAGTAAATATTTTCTCAGTGTGATCTTAAAAATCCTGCAAAGACAAAAGAAGGGTTACGGATTGGCTTTATCTTCACTATAGCACTAGAATCTTGTAGCTCACGTGCTTTATAAACATGAACTAAGATTTCGTTTGGTGATACCATATTCTAAAGGTAGTAAGTTCCAACCAGAATTGCATACATTAAAAAAAGCATTTTATAGATTCTGTGGTACTAATAACTAAATTTATAACTAGAGAACAAAGGAAAATTAATGGGGAAATATCTTATTGGCTATCAAAAATTATTACTGAGGAAAGGGAAGATAGCAAGCTGCAAGAAATCAAAATTAACCTTAAAAGAAAACGTGTAACAGAATTGAGGCTGTTGAACAAAAGATTTTGGCAATGAAAGTAATACAGAATTGCTAGGTAAAGGTGTCAGGGGACCTCTCAGTTGGTTCTTAAGACTTTTCTGCCCTTAGCTTTGCAGTCATCCTTAAGGGATGTACTTTATCTTCCTGTAGAAAACCATACCTGGCCACACTTAAACCAGAAAATTCATGTTGAAAAGAAAACCAAAGAAAGTTGGTACCTACCCTTCTACAAAAGAAGTGTTACTAGATGCCAGTCAGTAATAAACATATCAAGGAACTCTTCTAGCTAAATGACCATCCAGAAGGGATGACTTTGTCATGAATGTCAAGAATAGATGTCAGAATATGTGTGTCCTTAAGCATATGCCCACAATGGACAATGTTGATGTTGTAGAGTATGGCAACAGTATTTTTTTTCCCCTTCAAAATTGCCTTTCCTAACCTTATCATGCCATTCCATGTATTCTGAGTTGTGCCTCATCTATTTATTGGCAATACACAGTAATACAGATTTAGCAAACAAAAGGTATGAACTATTATATTACGGTTTAATCCTCCAAGTCCCACATGTGAAAAGAAAGATGGTGAACCCTGAGTACTGTGTACTCAGTCTAACACAAGCAAAGCATAAGACAAGCCGCAAGGTAAATTTGTGGACGGTTCATTTACATTCTCCTCTCCCTATCCCTTCAAGTATTTTTCCATCCTCAAATATTTAGGAAAGCAAATTATACAAGATTTTGCTTTATAATTCCTGTTGTCCTCACAGCTCACTTTTTCCTGCTTAGAAATGGTTGCTACATTTAGAGGAGCAGCTGGCTGCTTTTGATTTGCTGTCAGAATGAAGTGTTGTGTCAGAAGACTAGTAACTGCCTCTCAGCTCCTACTTTAACTTTGTTTTCCTCCTGCTTCCCTGGGACTTGGACCGCAAAGCGGTTCCTGCCCCCTCCTCCATGAATCAAGACTTGAGCATCCTGATGGAAGATTCAGCAGTTGCCTGTTATTCTTTCATTTTTGTAGCCAAAGCTGTTCATTGAAATCCAAATCTGTCATGAAAAAATACCAAATAGGAACACTTTTCAGCTACTTAAAAATCTTATCTTCCCTCTTCTTTACTCTCATAGATATTCCGTTTTTCTTAAACACTTTTTTTCTGGGTGGCAATTGTTAGGTGTTGGCTGCTTTGAACTGCTCTGGCCCTGGGTGAGTCACTATTGTTTTTAAACTACCAGTGAGGATTATAAGGATTAATAAAGTTGCTGCTGAGAGTGGTGTCAAAGCAGAATCAAGACACTTAAAAGTACTTTATTATTTGAGTTGAAAATATTGGTGGAAAAACATACTCGGGGGACAGTGGGTAACATGTAAGTAAATAACTGTAGTTCAGTCTCCCAGCTCTGTCCTAAGTTGAAGGGGGAATTTGAGTCCTGTGCTTATCACTTAAATCCGGTTTAAGAATGTACTAGTAATAAAGGGATGCCAGTAACTGAATAGTTTGTTAACAGAGTACTCAATGCAGATTAATGAAAATGTTACTGGAATTTTTCAAAAGTGCTCGGGTTGATGGTCATTGCCTTAAAGCATTCTGCTTGCAGTTAGTTAAGGGCGCTATGTGTTGAAGGGAGATGAACCCTTGTTCAAGAAGCCTTAGAAAGGGGCCCCTTAAAATAGAACTCTTGTTTGCCTGCTCTACACAGACAGGGGGAAATTATTTTAAACTGGATATTACTCAACAAGTTTTAAAATATTTCCACTACATTGAGGTAAACTATTTTTTTTAAGTGGACTGCAAATAGCATTTTGCTCTAGTATTGCACATTTTTACTTTTTTTTTTCTGTATTTCTTTGGTGATTGAAAGTTTGTCGATGAACATCTGTGTGAAACTCACTCACATATATAACCTTTCCAACATCTGTGACCCTGTTGTTAGTCCTTTGGGAATCAGTGTTGGAAGGTAGAAACACTGGATATTACTGTTGCTGAGTGAGTCTAGCCAGAAATAAGCTGATGGGAATTTTTAAACGGAGGAAAAGAAACAGCACAAAGGCACTTGCCATTTTTATAGTGATCAGAGAAAAAGAATCTTTTTTGTTTGGAGCGGGTGAGCATTCTTCTAAAAGGAGCTTCTGAAGTAGTTGCAAAGGAAAAGAGTTGACTATTTTTATAGTATATTTAATATATTTGTATATAACTATGAGTAGGAACCCTGCACACGCCTCCCACTTTTCTAGCTTCCTCCCCCTTTGGCCACAGCACTAGCAGAGCCTCATCCGCATGGGTGCCGTGCCTATTGTCAGCCTACCAAAACACAGTGCTGCTGCTTTCTGAGACAGGTGAGAAGACCCAACTCTCATGCCTGGGGATCCTTTACGTAGGAATAGCACACACTTCGCAGACATCACACCACAGTTGAAAAGCATCATTTTGAAAGGTAACAAGCACTTTATTGCAATTACTCATTTTGATAAAGTTTATTATCGTAGATATTGCCATTTCTAAAGGATCCCCAACTCATCACTTAGGTGAAATTTTTAAATGACACATTTCTGAGAAATGTTCAGATCCAGTGAACCATAGTAGGTTTAAGGGAGTGATTTCAAGGTAGCCAAATGAACTTTGACTTTTGTTTTGAATGTGGTAGAGTCAAGGGATTGTAGATGCCTAGTTCCATTTAGACACTATTGTAAACCTATCTTGCCTATTGTGTGGACACCAAAAGAGACCAATGAGCCTGTTTGTTTTCAGAGGTCTAGGAGAATTGCATCAGTGTGAATAGATGTATAGAACTAACCTAAAAGTGATTGGTAGTCATATTTTAGAATACAGTAATTTCAAGAATTATTCTGAGTGTTTTAAATGTGCTCTGAAATGTTGGCATGTCATTTCAGTGTTTCCATTTGAATTGCTCTTGTAATGTTTTTGCACAAAAAGAACTGAGAAATACTACTTTGGTTGAAGAAAAGGAAAAAAATAATTTGGTCGTATTTTAATGTCTCCTGTGGAAACACTGGAGGTGAATTTTGTTGGTACAGTTATTTTCAGGATATTTGAAACAGTATTGAACAGCTCACAAGAAATTAAGCAACCGTGAATAGATTGAAAAATTAAAACTCTTTCCATGTGACTGTTTTGCATACTTTATCCCCATGTCATAATTTAACACTACATTCCTTGTTTTTTCTTAAATAAAATAACTTTGCGGGTTCTGTTTTTGAGTATTTAGCAAGTTATTTTCTAAGCTGCCTGGGTTTTCCTAGGGAAAACATTCTTAGGTGAAATAGGATATAGTTTATGAAAAGACATTAAGTGAAATCCCATCACCACCACCAGCAAACACTGAGGTGCTGCATTAAGTGACAATCAAAATAGTATTTATAGGAGAATTGAGAAAGGGGTTTTTAAAGAAGCAGTCGCTTTGAAAATAGTTATCTGGGTTTCTTGAATAAAAATGGCTAAATGTATTTATTTATATTTTAAACTATCTTTGCGTCCCGTTTGCTCATCAGCGTGACTTCAGTGTCGTGTGTTTACCTGTGGTTTGCTGTGTTCTGCTCTGTAATCTGTGCGGAGGACCGGCTCTGCCTCCTGGGGGTGCATGCGGGCCTCAGCCCTCGTGACGCCTCTTGGTGGCGCTCCGAATCTGTTCCACTTCAGCACAGCGGTGGAGCCCAGCCCAGGTGCCCCCAAGGCTCCCCTCCTGTTCTCAACTCAGTTAAGAAAAAGTAAAAGTAACTCCCAACTTTTTTCTAGTTTCACTTGCTGCCTTTTCTATTTTATGGGCACTTTTTATGTAACTTCCCCAACGCAGCCAAAGGCCAGCATGACAGAACCCATGGCACACGTTGCCTCCGTTTTGCCCATTTGGAAAATGTTATTAAAACAATTAGCATCTTCTAATGGCCATCACTCATACCCATATTAAAATCCATCTAAAGTCCTTAAATATAGGTGGAACAATGTATAAATACTGCAAACTCTTCTACAAAGAAAAATAACGTGTGCTGTCTTTTATATATAGTTTGCTTGGTCCTTTAAAACCAAAGCCAAACCAAACCTTCCTACACAGCACCATACAACAAAAGCAGTGTTTGAACATCTAAAGCCTAGAAATTTGAAGATACTCATTGCTGGTCTGCATTGGAACAGAATTCTCCACCTTAGGGCTCTTGAGTCCCACAGGCCACGTCCAGAGTGCACTCTAGCTTTGGGATCCCTTCGAGAATGGTAATTAAAACAAGTCAACCACAAGTTGGATTTAATGATGTAAAAAGTGTTTCTTGACTCTTTAAGGGTTAAATTGGGGAGCTCATGTTTTTAAATGTATGCTTTTAAGTTTCTGAGGAAACAAACTGTGACATCGCTTTAAAAGTGACATTCAGATGTTTTACGATGTGTTTTGAGTTGGCCTGTACTGGTGCAGATTCACCACTGGCAATGGTTGTGCCAATGCTAGAGAGTTAAAATGTAGGAGAAGCTATGTTGTGTTCAGGTGGATGTATTATGTAACCAGACAATCATCAAGCAGAAAGAAAAAAACTGGCCAGGAAATGTCATTTTCCTTTATAGATGTCAGCCAGCCAGAACAGCTGTCATTTAGATCATCCTGGAGTCACTTTGAGATCTGTTTTATCATGGTGTAAGTTGGGGAAGGTCCTCAGTATGGCACTTGCACATTCATTCTATGTAAAGACTGAAGCCCAAAGACAAGTTAAATTCAGTGCTGTATTGAAACCAGTTAGTGCAAAAAAAAAAAAAAATTTTTTTTTATCTCTGTAAATCTGTAATTGTTAACATCAGTTGGTAGTTGTAAACACACACACCAGATTATTTCTAATGTTCTGTGTGGTTCTTAGTGTGCTACCCTTGACACTGATATGTCCTTACTGCTTGGTTCTTGGTTTAAAATTAAAGTTAGATATAGCCTGTCATTCTTCCTTCTGAAAGGGTGGAGCTGTAAATGGCTAAGAATACCTATTTTTCCTAAAGCAAACATTTCATTAAAATCCAGATTGATATACAAAAACAAGGCTGACATTTTCCAAGTAATGTCTTCAGCCCGAATCCTAAAATACACAGAAGCACGATGGGTAATATGAATGGTTTTAACGGTGCTATAATAGGTTCTCTGCTGATCTTCATGACCTGTTTGGAAATACAGTATTGTATAAAATGTGGATCATTTTGTTACCAATTTAATATTGCCATTCTAATTTGGTTTTTAAACTGGTTACACTTGTTTCTCAGAGCTCTCCTTTGAGAAGAGTGTAAACTGTGTTGTTAGCCTACCTCCACTCAGGCCTCTTGCTGTATGATCCTTTTTCCAGGTTGTGATGTGCAGTTTTTAAAAACTGTATGTTCTATTATAACTCTTTTTCCTATAGACTCCTGTAATGGATTCAGAACCTAAACTGACAGCAAAAAGAGCCAAGCGGTAGCATCTTGTGTTTTTATAAATGTAAAAATTAGATTCACTTTGTTTCCTATTCAGTTTTAAAAATAAAAATACCTCAGTGCTGTGTTTTCCAGTATCACCTGCATTTCTCAAAATAACACCTGCTTTATGTGGCACATAACTTGTAAGAATCACATTATTTTGGATTTTAAAGAATATTAAATATTTTAAAATCACTACTGATGACATTTTTCTCTTTTATTCAGCCATGGAGTTAGTAGCCTTTAGCAGTTTTTGCCTTGTAGCTAAGGTCTGAGCTGCCAGATTCTCTTGAGTAGATGTGTCCTGTTACAAGAGTGTGGGGCCTCAGAAAGCCTGTTACTCATTAGGCTGGTGCCGGGACTAGGCTGCCTTCACTGCCAGTGTACCAGCTACTTCCTAACAAGAAGTAATACAGTTTGTCACTTAATTCTGTAACAATTTAAGGCAGTATTAGGGATATTTTAACTGCAGAGATTTCCAGTGTAGTCTGGAGACTTAATCTGAGATTTCTTTGCAGTGTATTATGAACAGTGTGTTTTTCTACCCTGTAATACACACTTTTCATGGTAGAAAAGTTTCTAAAAATGACTTTTTCAGAAATACGTGAACTGCTGCTTTTTACCTGACAATCATATTTAGATCTCCTCACAATAGTGGTCAGCTGTCTCCCACAAAGTTACTGCTGCGTTGAGAATGCTGGGTGATTAACTGGGTTCTTTCACGGTCTTCACGTTACCAGTGACTGTACACTATGCACTTTGTAGGTAGCTCGCTACACCTCACTTGTGCTGGGTCTGCTCTTACGTACCCTTCACGCAAGGAGCACGTGGAGGTTTCTGCAGAACTCTTCTCAGGTCTGTAGCGGCTGCTGGTAGCCGTGTTACTGCACATGGTAAAGAGCACATCAGGCTGGGAGAAAGCAGGTGTGCTGCTCAAATGGAACTTTTGGTACGCAAGTTGCAACTGAAATGACAGTGATTACTGAAATGGCTGTGATAACATGAGGCGGCCTTCACCATAATCTGTGATTGTCTCTAGAAGTAAACTGTCCAGTTTGATCCCTTCCTGTACCGAGAGTTATTTAACCTTTAAAAAAAAACTTTACATTTAGTACCTACTGCCTCACAGAACTTTGTGAAGGCTTATTCGGTTGCTAAGTGGTGTCTGACTCTTGGTGAAGCCAGGCTCCCTTATCCTTCATTATCTCCCAGAGTTTGTTCAAACTCATATCCATTGGGTTGGTGATGCCATCCAACCATCTCATCCTGATGCCCCCTTCTCCTCTGCCCGCAATCTTTCCATCAGGGTCTTTTCCAGTGAGTCGGCTCTTTGCATCAGGTGGCCAAAGTACTGGCGCTTCAGCTTCAGTCCTTCCAGTGACTGTTCAGGGTTGATCTCCTTTAGAATTGTGAAGGCTAAGATAGTGCTTTAGAACAGTCCACTTCAGAAACTGGTCTATAAGTACCAATGTGACTCTGATGAAATTAGAAAATTAGAAGCTAGCATAACAACAAGGAAAACCAAGCACTGGTCACACCGCTTTTATTTATGTCACATGTTACACTGTTCATTCAGCATAGAAAAATATGAATACACTCACAGTATTCTCTCTTAATTTGCTAATTCCACATGGTCAAATATTGACTGTTACTGTATTGGGTTTTCTACCCAATTAAAAAAGAGGAAGAAAGGACCTGGCAAACAACTGTCATGTTAATAACAGCAGTACCTTTCTCTTGCTCTTAAAAGACAAATTTTGAAAAGACTTCTGATTAAACCACTGCTTACTGGCTCAGGAAAATGTTTTAAAAGATAGAAATTAATTCATTCTTTCCCCCAGGAAGAATTTTAAGGTAAACATCTTAAAACACCTTGGTTATCCAGGAGAAAATTTATATTCTTTACAAAGGGGCCAGTCAGTGCTGAAAAGAAATTAAGTGGCAGACCCCCCTGAACAACAGTTCCCTATATAATACTACCCCCACCTCACCCCTGGCCAAAAAAAAAAGCCAATAAAATAAAAACGGAGACCTTATATTAACATAATTATGATGGAGAAGAGGAAAAACTCACACAAATATCAGCTTTCTTTTAAAAATCCATTTTGCAAATAGAATCAGTGATTATTTCTTTTGGACATAATACTTCCATTAAGTGGGTCAAACTCACAAATCAATGCTACAAAATACAGTATTTTCCATCACTTTTAGTTATAATATACACTATGTACATAAAGTTACCTATCTTAAACTAAATACAAATGAACGTTAAAAACCAGAATCGGGACTTATAAATAGTGCAGAAAATGCAAACGCCAAAAATACGATGCCTCCTATGATTGTCACTGTAAAGAGAACAGAAATAAGTTAAAGGCAAATCCCCCTGAGTCAGGATGCTGCCTGTCCTTCTAGTAAACGGACACTGAAAACGAATCAGAGACACTCCAACCTCATTTTCACAGTGAAATACTTAAGGTGCCCAACTCTCAACAGTTAGGAATCAGTTTATTTTCCAGAATTATATTGAATTCAGACAATGCTGACAAGCAACAACAGGACTGTAACTCATCTTAAAACCCAGGTACGGGGGCTGAACGGGTGGAAAGACTCAAAAGGGAGGGGTGTGTACAGAAGCTGATTCACTTCTGTACAGCAGAAACGCAATATTGCAAAGCAATTATACTCTAAAAAAATTAAATTTTCAACAACTTCTGAACAAGCAAAGAGACTATATTCTATTTTTAAGATCAGCTACACAGGAAATTTTCAGCTGAATCAGTATATATAATCTCCATCTATGATTCCCAATTCTGTATGTTTTCAAAGCTTAAAAGTTCTCAAATGTCCACATAATTGTTTCACTGACTTAAATATGTTGACAAAAAGCCACTATGAATCCAGTAATGCTTTGACCTGACTTTATATTTTACTAACATCTACACATGTGAAAAACAGCCCATGTTTGCAATAGCAGAACCAATACACTGGACTTCTGATTATTGTAACAAAGACATAGTCTACTTTTGAAGACACACACTCTTTTTTCTAACCTCAGTGATTCTAAACGTTAAATGGTATTTTCTCATTTACAAAAAATAAAAGACTTACCAGTCCTGACGGAGATCTTTTGCGCTATCATTCTTCCTCCAATGACCGCCAGTCCAGTGCAGAGGCAGTGCCCCACTGTTCCCCCCACCGCTACACCATAGGGGTCCTGGGGACAAGGGTAACGTTAATCTAAAGCCAAGGTGGAAACTGCTCCCTGAGAAAGATAACTGCTTTCCAGCCATGAAAAGAGGTCAGTAACAACACCAACGCAGGAAAAAGTTCTACAAATGCAGGTGTGTAATTTATAAAATGGGTAACGGCTGCTTGAAGGAATATGTTCCAATTATACCTAAGACTAGAGATAAAAGGAGAATAAACTCAATGTGCAAGATCAGAAAAACCTAATTCAGTCTTTCAGCAGTTGCTAAACCTATCTCACAGGCAATATTTCACTCAAGTGAGTGTTAAAGGAGACTCAGCCTGGACACCTCTTCCCTCAGGCAGTATCTGCTACTCTGAAGAAACTATGCCAGCCTTCACAGCGCTGTCTGAAGATGCTTCCTAAGAAGAGACCCTGCCTCTCAACCTCTGCTGAGCTAAAGCACCAGGACACAGTACCATTCAGTAAACACCTGCCACCAAAGCAGCTTGGAGGCAGGCAGACTGGGAGACCAGTGAAAGTTTTCCAGAAAAGACAGCGCTGAAGTTGTCCTTCAGATGGACCACCTGACTTGGCAGCAGGCCAGCAGCAGGAGACAGTCATGGACACCCACGCATTTCTACAAAGAACCAGTGAGTCACAAGCAAGGAGTCCATCATGGTAGGAGGGGGTGTGTCGTGAAGCCTCGAGTTTAGACTTTTTAAGACACTAACTGGGGAGTGACACAGCGTGTGCTTTAAAAATTAAGTCTAAAGTGAACTGGAGGGAAAGAAGACAAGACCCAGCGATCAACAGAGAGATTCCTCCAGCAGCCCTGCAGAAGAATGCTGGCCTGGGCGGGCGCGGGAGACCAGGCGGAGAAAGGCAGGCAGACGTTGAGAGAGGCTGAAACCCAACTGGTACATCTTAATGACAGACGACAGGTGGGAAAACATCAGGCTGGACACTCGGGGTCCTCACCCATAACTCTCTGGATGGACTACAGTGATACCAAGGTGCGTACAACAGGCAGAGGAAGAAAGGAAAACGGATGCCAACAGAAGTTAAAGGTAGAGAAGTCCAAGAGTCAGTTGGGTTCAATGGAGAAGCAGCGATGGGACTGAACATAATCATCCCGGGAGAGAAGGGAGGAAGGTGTTGACGACACGATCACGAGGAAGGCAACCCTGAAGGATGAGAGAAGAGGAGCCCGAGGGAGACTGAACAGGTGACCAAGCGAGCAGCCTCCCAAGAAGACCACGGCAGGACCCGTCTGCGGCTGCAGTGAACTTAAAACGCCGCTGAGTCAGAGGCGGTGCGGCCCAGTGTGTTCAGTAAGCAAGGAAGCAGAGCCTCCTCCTGTTCCCGTCACAGCGAAGCTCTCCAAGACTGAGGGAAGTAGGGCACAGAGAAGCTTTACATGTGGAAGAGAAGCAGAATTAAGGAAGCGAGTAGAACTTTTTTAGATGAGAAAAACTTGTGCATGCTAAAATGCTAAGATTGGGCTGGAAGAAAGGCAGAGATTCTAAGCTTTAAGTGGGAGCATAGAGGGCTGAGACCCAAATAGGCGGGACAGGACTACCACTGTGATGGGTGGCAATGAAGAAATGACTTCTGCTTTCCTCCGTGAAGTAGGAAGCAGGCCCGCCTGCTGGGGTGTGCGGTGTGTGCGCAAACTGGGGAAATGGAGACAGCTGGAAATGTTTTCATGCGGAGCAGAAGAGTGGGACTGCATTCTGCAAATCTGTGTATTACAACCAGTAAAACTAACCGAAGGTGGTTTCATTCTATTTTAAAATGACACCTGAAAAATCACTGGATTAAATAAAATTAAATGGTTCCTTTAATAGAGGATTTTTCAGTCTGTTATTTTTTATGTTCCATCTTCAAAACCACATTTATACTATTTGCCAAATTTACTGGACCCTGGAACCTTCTTCCTCAACCTTTTTCTTTGTTGTTGTTTAGTACCTATGAACATCTCAAAGGACAGTAGAGGATTCTGTGAAATTCAAAGTGGGAATGATGAATTCTACTGGAAATAGAAATGAAGTTTAGACTAAAATGGAGTGACTTAGACTACAGCATGGATTATACAAAAAAGTTACCCACCCCCCCAAATGAAGAATATTAAAATAACAAAAATAGCCAAGTACATCTGTGGCCCTGAAGAGCTCATCGCCTGTCCCTGCGGCACTGAGTGTGTTCCCGCTGTCTGGGACCCAACATGCATCGTCTTGTTTCAGCCCCAAACCACCTGGAAGCAGATGCTGCAGTCACGTGCTCACGTGTGGCAGTCACGTGTGGCAAGAGACTCGACCCCAGGAAGCACACGCTGCACTGCGGGCAGGTGGGCAGTGGGCCACGGGAACCCAGGGGTGTGCAGCCTGTCCCAGGGCACTCTGCCATTCAGGTGACCGTGTAAGCAAAAAGCAACGACCCTGCCATCATGACGGCTCACGTGGCAGAACCACCACCACCATGAAACCATCACTTACTTTCAAGTCCCAGTTCTGGCAATCTGAATGCCAGTAAAGAAGGCTATAAATCAAGAATATAGGGCAAAGCCATTAAAATGATGTTTAAAAAGAAAGTTTATTTTTAAACATAGGACTCAAACGAAAAATTGAGTTCCCTTTTTTCCCAAAATACAGCATTTTTGAGGCTTCTTTGACAAAACTGTCCAGCTTTAACTATTTTAGCCCTGGCCTTCAATTCTTGTTTTATATTTTGAACTGCAGCCTTTGCTAAGCAACTCATTCGTTTATGGTAGATACCTCCTAGGAGTTAAAAAATTCAAATCAAGCTTGCTATCTAAAATCTTACCACCTGACTAAAAACAATGTAATTTAATAGATATAAAATCATAAGAAATAGCATCAGTTAAGATCAACAAGAGCTGAGAAGTAGCAGCATTTCTGTCCCACAACTGTCTCCTCAGCAGATCTTAATCCATGTGAACAACAGACCCTCATGTAAACTTCACTATTCCCTTCAAAAGAAATAAGAATCTAATGTTTTCTTTAAAAAGTTGCCTTTTACAGAGTGGCACCTGACAACTCTGAACAAAATACAGCAGGAAAGCCTAGCAGGCAGGCAGTCTTGGCTCTAGTCCTTGTCCGTGCTACCAACTCGCAACTAGCTTCAGTCCTGGTGACAAGCCGCCCAGCCTCTCTGGGCCTCAGGAACTGATCCGTGAAGAAAAGGCTAGGGCAAGGTGATCTGAGGTGTCCTGCCTTGGTATCTTAGGACTGAGTAACCCAGGGCTAAGACTTAAATCTTCTAAGTAACCTTTGCAACACTCAAATTATTTTTTTAGCACAAGGAATGGAAGAACCCAGAGATACCTACTTTTAAGGCTTTAGGTATTTATTGCCAAACTGGCCTTTAATAATAATATACCAGTTTATGTTCTGAACAAATATATAAAGGAAGGTTTTGAGAAAAGAAAAGGAAAAAAATAAATAAAAAAGTAAGCCAAAACAACAGCCACACCGTCATTTTGGCAAAACTGAATGAGGAATCAAAAGAGACTAATCTGACTGACTGTAGAGATTGGGGAAGGTCAGCTTTAAAGGTAAGCAGAGGTGTTAGATCTGAAACATACTGTCAAGGATATCAAGTCATCCCTTGACCCACCTTGACTCGGCCCAGTGACCTGGAGCAAAGTAATGTTAGTTTTAATACAGAAGCAGTCGTCTTCAAGTACCACTCACCTCTCTAGCTGCCAAAACAATTGTAGTCAGTTGAGAGCGATCACCCCATTCTGCTAAGAATGTTAATGTAAGAGCCTGAACAAAGATGGGTGAAATAAAATGCAGCCACTTTTTCTGAGGTATTGTTGTGCTTGCACCCGTTTCAACATCTCCTGGTCCATTTAAGAGTTTGGTTCGTTGAAACTAAATTAAAAAAAAAAAAAAAGACATTAATCCGAGAAACCAAGTCAGTATAGCCCCAAATGCTTAATCTTTCTTTTAAACAGTGTTTAAGGTCTATGGCAATATGCTCTCAGAAGCTAAGGTTATGTGATCCCAAACTTATCTTTTGAACCACTGGTCTCACATGGCAACAAATGAAATACAATATTCTCAATTTTTCCAATTCTTCCCAACAAAATAAATAAAACATTATTTATTGATCATTTGTTACCCTAGATGCTGTGGAAAGAAAAAGAGAAAATTATAAACAAGTTCCTGTTTTTCAGGAGCTTATAATCAATCTAATTAAGAAACTTGATTACAGGTGTTAGACATTTATCCCCGAGGCCTTTCTCTACCAAATTTCCATTAACCCAGTCCTATCACAGCCAGATGTAAGAATGGAAACCAAACAAAATAAGCTATTTCTGTGTAGCCCACACATCTCACAGATATGGATGACCACGGAAAACCTTCTAGAGAGTGTTTACTCTTAATAGTTGAGTGCCTTTTTAACAGCACTCTGACTTACTTCTTCATCTTTTTTCTTTAATTCTGCTTGAACTTCTTCTAGTTCCTCTTGACCTTCATCTGGACTCATCTTTAGGCCTTCCCGAAGCATTCTAATGCCAAAAATGGCAAATAATGCAGTTGAAACATAGTACGTATACACCCTGGGGATGACAGTGGTGGCATAACCAAACAAAACTGCAAGAAAATGCAATGGTATGTCTGATTAATTAGCAGATTATACACCAACCAAAGAAACACAGCTAACTTCAGAAGTCATCATTTACCCCTGTTTTAAAGGGAAAATGGTTCACATTAGAAGCTAACAGGTAAGAACCTTAAATTCTACTTCTTTCCCTCCACTAATATTGAGCCCTTAGGTCTAACCAATGACCTATCTATCACAGTTTAGCAAGAAATCAGTGGTGCAGCTGAAGGTGGCAGAGGTTCCACACAGATCTCGTGAGATCTAAAGATAATCATCTCCTCTTCAAACACCTTCTGCCAGAGGCTGGCTTGCCACAGGTCATGCAGGGCACAGTACTTTAGTTAGGAGAGTAACTTTGATGTACTCTACACATCTCATGGTCTTATAACCTGGAAGTTATATGACTTTCCTACATGGTATTTCTTCATCACAAATCTAAATTACAAACCTCTATCGTGAAGAATCATGACAAGACTCTCATGTGGCATGACTGAAACTATGCTTCTTTGCAACTATTTAAAATAAATATACCTTACAAAGGAAAACAATTCCATATATATACACACACGCACATATATATACATAACAGACTCAAACTTATTCAGTATTATTCTTTCCTCTCATTAAAGTATAGAGGGATAACTGTATAAGTTACACAAAAAACTATACCTAGAACTATATCAAGAACCCAAACCCTAACTGTGAAACACATTCACATTGATAATATGAAGTTAGTAATTAAAAACTATGGCAGGGCCAGAGGGCATTTCCATATATGTAATAAATACAATTACTTTTCACTTTACCAGCTCTTTATCCAAAATGGGCACAACACTTTTAAAACTGCCTAATCAGATACATAACTGCATAGGTGAACCATTCCATGATTCATTGTATTACAAAATGAAAAAGACTTTAAAATCATGTTTAGAAATGTAAACCTATGCTTCTGTGCATATCAATAAGTTATACACGTGTGTGTGTATATGTGCCCCCCACACACAATACAGACGTATTTTCTAGTTCTGTCCACTGAAAAGGCCCAAAAGTCTCAATAACAATGAAGCAGCTTTGCACTCAGATCTTGGTTTCTAATGTGCTTCCCACTAAAATGCTCTTTAGAGAAACTGCTAATTCCAGGACTGGGCAAAGTAGGTACAAGATGAACTTGCACTATCTTGTTATATTAGAAAGGAAGGAAGAACAAAAACAAATAATAGCATGTCACAAAGACACAGGAGTCATCAGCCTGGAGGGGTCCCCAGCTGCCCTATCTTGGGTAATTTAAGGAACAATATATAGTTAAGTAATTAATTATAAACCACTGAAAAAAAGGAGTTCATCAGTTTATATTAATAATAAACAGACAAACCAATGTGAGTGGGGTGAGTTCTTTCTTGGAACAGCATATCAGGGCTCACTGGTAAATGTGGATGGGGTACTGCAATTAGCCATTATTTTGCAAGCATCGAGGTAGAGTTCAGATCATGTAAGAGTCATCAGTTGATGCTAAACAATGGGGAGTAGGGTATTTGTACTGTCTTAAAGTGTCTCCCAAAAGATTACAAGTTAACTGTGAGGGAGGATAAAAAGACAGTGCACACTTTACTGGGAGATCAAAACTAACATCAGTGAGGGACAAATGGACGTCACATGCTTCCAGATGTGATACTCTTCAGAGGGACACACGTCAGCTATGCAGTGTTCTAGTCAATCTAGTCACGAGGGAAAATCTACACAAATGCAAAATGAGGAACTGCCCATTAAAGGGGGAGGGGGATGTATCTTCGAAAAAGTATTATAAAACACGTAAGAAAAGCCTATAGAAACATTTCAGATAAAAACTAAAAAGAACTAAATGTACTATCGGACCTAGACTAGATCCTCTACAGGAGGACAGAGACTATTCTCAGATCAACTGACGAAATTAAAATATGGATGATAAGATTAATGTATCAATCTATGTCTATAAAGATGTATACTGTGTGTATATATACGTTCTCTACAGATATATAAAATGTGCATATATACACACATATATTGTACACCTAGAGATATATAGAGATATAGAGAGGTCACAAATGCTAAAGCAAATGTGGTAAAAATGTTAACAGGTGAATCTGGATAAAAGGTATACAGGTATCCTTATACTATCTTATTTTTGCAACTTTGTAAATTTAAAATATTTTCCATAAATGGTTTTTAAAATTTTAGAAATGCAGCAAATCTTTTAAATGTCCTCAATTTAGTTTTCCTTTCATCTCCAGATAATCTAAAAGAACTACTTACTGACACAATCCCATGATTTCTGCCTTGACATCTCCATAGAGAGCAAACAACTATCTGGCACTATAACACTGTTCTTCTTTCCCTGGTTACTGTCCCTCTATTTCCTCCTTCTTTGGAAGCCTTTCCTCAGACACTCGAGTACTCTGGTTCTGTGAACAATGAGAGGTTATTTCTCTTTAAGCAAGTGATTTGCATCAAGTCAAAAATCACTGACTTACAAGTAATTAAACTGAAAACATGTGGCACAAGAATATTAGTTGAGGGGGGGAAAATGGGCCAAGGGTTAAAAACTATGAGAAATGTCGATATTTACGGTACCTTCTTTTTTTTTTCCAGAGATAAGACTGTAACTAGAAGCAGGGGGTGTCTTAGAAACCAAGAGAATAAAAAGATGAGAATGCCCATGAATGTGGTGTGAGGGGCTCATTAAAATGAAAACTAAACTCTGTAATTAGGAAAGCTGATTACTGAAGTCTTTGAAACATAAAGACTTCCCAGTTTGTGGAAGATGAAGTTTGTGAGATCTATTTGCGTTAAGTTCAACTTCCTTAAAACCTTGCACATTCCCTTAAAACCCATCTTGCCTGCAGCCGAGGAGGTGCAGGTCCTCCATGCCCACACCCCGTCACAGCTGCCCTCTGCCCCTCTACCAAGACGCCTTTCACCCAGCTTCCTACAGCGCCTTCCCACTGAATAAAGAGATCCCAGGGCACCAAAGAGAGGCTCTGAAATGCTGATATACCTAGTCAGGGCATCATAAACTAGAGGGCTCCGGGCCTCCCCGTCTTACACAAGTCTCTGACGTCATGGCACTGAAATAACAGCATGACAGGCACTGCAAACAATGGCCACGGGTAGGAAACACAGTGTTGGCCTCAGCAGGAATAATTTCTACTTAGAAATTGTGCTGCTCTCACCACCCAGCCAGGGGCATGCTTTTCCCTAAGGCAGAGTATCGCTATAACAAAGAGAGCGTCACAAAGACACTAAATCTCAGTGGCTTACTTCCCCAGGCAGCTCAAGCCTAGCGGGGCTTCCAGGCCCAGTCCCACCAGCCAGCCATCTTAGAATTCTAGACAGACAGTTGCCATGGGGACATATATTATGTTTAGTAAGTTAAAAAACCAAGTAAATGGTTTCTGATACAAAATAAACCTGACTTAGATGGTTTACTATGGACCAATTATCATGGCAATTAGGCAGAGTGACAGACATTTTTCATAAATTGAGCTAAATCTGTAGCTCCAAGACCCCATTAAACATGTGATGTGACACAACTTTAAAATCCCTTATTGATAAAAATACACTGAAATTAAAAATATTTCAATTTTCTCAACTACTTCCTTCTAAATATATCCAGTTAAACAAAGGACCTCTAAATGAAAGACTAATGTATATGTACAGTCATTTGATGAATTTTAGAAAAATTTTTTTGGTATACTTGATGGTATCCAACTGCTTTTAACAAAATTGACAGAAGGCCTTATTAAATTGTCAGTTGGTAAATCACTTAAAATCACTTGGTGATAGATTAGTATGTGATTTTTAGCATATAACCCAGGAGTTCAATGAACTGAGTGACAAGGCTATAACAAAATTCCTTCCTGTCTCCTTTTGTGAATAAAATATCTCAGCCTTTATATCTATTTCTTTTTTTTAAAGATCAGAATTGACTTTAAACCTAGCTTCATTCTAGCAATAAGTATCATCCATGGACAATTTTAAAAGTATAGTTCTATCATCTCATTATGAGATGCATTTCCAACTTTTGAAAAATGTTTACTTAAATCTGTGATATATTTTATTTTGATCAACTCTGACCTAGTAACTATAACTCGATAAAAAAAATTTTAACATATAAATGTTAATGTTATTAACATATTAAAATTTTAACATATAAATGTTAATATGTAAGACTTAATAAAGGAAATTTTCACTATGTTCTACAATTCAATTTAAAGGTGTTTTTGCTACAGATAAATATGACAATGTGATCCACAGAAGATTTTCAAGCAAAAAATTTATCATAGGAATAAAATTCTGTGAGGAAAGTAAATGAAAATAAGAATTAAAGGAGAGAAAAGAACAATGTAAATTTCCAAATGTTTATTATTTTTTTTAAAGGAATGATGGTGTTGGTGAAGGTAAGGACCAAACTCCCAATGGTATTTAGATTCCACTGGTTCTATCTTATTTTTGGCCGCATCTCAGCATATGGAACTTCACTCACCAGGGATCAAACCCACGTCCCCTGCAATGGCAGCAGAGTCTTTACCACTGAATCACCAGCAAAGTCCACCATATTGTAAAAGAACAGGGCAAGAAGACCCAAGACCTGGGACAACTGGTGCAGGCCCACTCTGGCCAAGTCAGGAAGAAAATCATGGTAACCTTACAGCTGCCTCTTGTTGTTTAGTCGCTCAGTCGTGCCCTACTCTTTGCGACCCCATGGACTGTAGCCTGCCAGGCTCCACTGTCCATGGGATTCTTGAGGCAAGAATACTAGAGTGGGTTGCCATTTCCTTCTCCAGAGGATCTTCCCGACCCAGGGATCAAACCCAGGTCTCCCGCATCGGCACGTGGGTTCTTTACCACAGTGCCACCTAGCAAGCCCACAGCTGCTCCATCTCCCAGCTCATCCCTTTGAGGCCCTCACCCAGATCTGCCTTGAGTTTTCTATGGTCGCTCCTCCCAAGGAACAAACTCACAAAAACTGAGATCCTGCCTCTCTTGATAGGTCTGAACTTTAGTGAGAAATTTTGAAAAAAGCTAGACAAGAATGCCAGGCGGAGGCTGTTACAGACATCAAGCTCTCTTCAGGGTGAGATGTAGCAGGAGGAGACTCTCAGAACCACTTTATTACCCAGCAGCCCACCCCACTTCCACCAGGCATCCCTGGCCACAGACCCAACAGCAGTTGGTTCTAAACAATATCTATTGAATTAATTAGCTTTTATTGTAATGAAGGGCTTCCCTGAAAGGCCCAACGGGTAAAGAATCAGCCTCCAACGCAGGAGACACAGGAGACTCGGGTTTGATCCCTGGCTGGAGAAGATCCCCTGAAGAAGGAAATGGCACCCCACTCCAGTATTCTTGCCTGGAGAATCCCATGGACAGAGGAGACCGGTGGGCTACAGTCCAAACCCAAAGGGTCACAGAGTTGGACACGACTGAGCAAATAAACATGCATTAAAAATAATGTGAAAATATCCAAATAAATGGTTCAACAGTTGTGTCCTGGGCACAGCTGGGCCATACCTAGATGCAAAGCCTTTTTATGATAAGGAGGAAGAGAACTAACTGGTGTAGAACTAACCAGATGGCTTGCTTGTTTTACTTCATTTAACCTTACTATTCTTTAAGGATGGTGCTATTATTATCCTGAGTTTACAGCAAAGATAATCCAAGGGCTTAAATAACTTATAAAGTCATAACGGAGTAAAAATATAATTATTTTCCAATGATTTTTTAGCTTCAAACCTTTTCCCAATAAAGTGTTAATTATCAAACAGATGACAGCAAGCTTTTCTCAAGGGAAAGACTGGGGGCCCACAGCTCCCCCAGCTCTGCAGCCTCCAGGCTTCACCCACCTCCCCTGCAGAACCTCTTATCCTGAAGAAAGCCATCGGAACCCTTGGATTCAGAGTCAGACACAGCCTCCTCTGAGTCTCAGCTCCACTGCCTGGGAGCCACGGATGGGTAATATGTTCTCTGTCCATGTGGAACAAGACAGGGGCTTGTCCTAAAGAGGGCCTGAAGTGTCATGCACACAGAGGGTGCTCAGCAAACGCAGCCACGTGACCTGCTCCTGTTTGCATAATGTGCAAGCAGTAGAGGCGGAATTCAGCTCCAGGCTCAAGATGTCAGATTTCATGCCTTTCCTGCCATTCACACCCCCCAAAAGCAGTTCCAGGCCCCTAAATAGAACGCAGAGAAAGGGCTTAGGATGCAAAGGCAAGCCAGTCTAGGAGCAAATCTGGAATGCTAACAAGAAAAAAAACAAGTGTCAAACTGGAAATTTCACAAAGGAAAGCAATATCCCCACACTTAGAGACTGCTGAAATTCCCCAGCACTGAACTCAACCATCCAAGGTGCATCAGTTCAGTGTGGACAAGGCTGATGAGAAAACAATGTGGCAAACAGATCTGAGCAGTGAAGCAGGGTTTAAACTACCTTGAAAGACTGTGTTAAACATGTATGACATCAGAGATTTCTTTTGTTATGGAATTTCTTTTTTAATCAGTTTGCAAATGTAATATGTATTTTTAAATACTGTGTAATAAATGTTAAAACACTTATAAGATAAAAACCAACTATAACAATTTAACACTCAACATACCAGAAATTCTATCTTTGAAACTTCTTGAACTAAAGATGAAAAGTGAGAGGGGGCACATAGTCTTTCAAAATGATTTTGGAGATATACAGGGAAGAGGCTTGAAGACCACTGATGCAGCCTATTCCTTCAAGTAGTCCACATGAGAGGAGCTGTCAGTACCAGCAGTCAGAGGGAGACAGGCCAAGGGTCAGGACAGAAGAGATTAGCCCTGCTCAGAGCCAGCAGAGAGAGGTGGAGAATGTATGGAGCCAGGTTCCGAGGAGGGAATGGGCAGAGAGAGGACAGTCTTCCAGTTGTCCTTAAGATGGAAGCTTCAAAAATAAAATTATCTGGTACTATTCAAACTCATTCCAAACAAGTGACTTCACCATTTAAAACCCGCCCCACTTATCCTATTTCCTAGAATCAGAATTTGCTTTTGAAAAGAAAATTGTTTTTATTGTGAAATATGAATAATGATAATGCTAATACCCACATGCGAAAAGTAGTAAATTCTTTAATTCAATAAAATACTCATTATAATATGTTTAAAAAGACAGACTTTAACAAGCATCCAAGCAGCCAGTAATAGAACCTGTCCTGTACTGTGTTTCATGAGAAATCTGCGGCATGCTGAAAGAGAAGGGTGAATGAGTACTTGAAATGTTAAGAGCTCGTTTTAATACAAACCACAGCCCCATGAGGCAGTTATATACTATCTCCAGTTAACAGATGGGGAATTAAAGCCCAAAGAGATTAATTAACTTGTCATTAGGTTAAAACACGGCAGAATCAAACTTTAATCCAAGTCTGATGCTAAGGGGGAAACTCGTTCTTTTCCACCCAACTACATGGCTCAAGGTAGCTTTTGAATCAGAAACGAAAATATGTTCAATTATTTAGTGTTAGGTTTACATTCTCTTGGTCTTAATTTTTTTTTTTTTTTTGAAAAATTGAAGCCTATATAATAGTAACTCAAAAGTAACACAAACTGGGACTCTAAGAATGTTTCAATCCTTTACTAATAATGGGTAAGGGTAGCTTAACAGAACACAATACACTGAACATGACTCCTCATTATGTGATTACCAAATGTCCATCAACAGGAAACATGCATTTCTCTGTGGTGGCTTGAGTCCTATTTCTTAGATATTAGATATAAATAAATTTATCTGGACTTAAAAACAAAAAAAGAAAGCAAAAATATCCATAGTGAAAGCAAGGATCAAGATACTGACAGCTCCTTTCACCTGGCCTATCTAAAGGAACAAGCTGTATCGGTGGTCTTCAAACCTCTTCCTTGCATATCTCTAAAATCATTTTGAAAAACGACTTAACCCCTCTCACTTATTTAATTTTTGGTATATTGGGTAAAATTGTTATAGCTTTTTTTTTAAACGTTTGTCTTCTAAGTGTTTTAACATTTATTACACAATATTTAAATTCATATTACATTTGCTTGTTAAAATCTTGTATTTTTAAACATAATGAGTACTTTGAATCAAATAAATAATTTTACTTTTTTTCCATCTGGATATTAGCATTAGTGAATAACTGAGGAGTATGTATCTTCAGTAAGTTGTGTTGGGAACACTGGACAGCTACGTGTAAAAGAATGAAATTAGAACACTCCTTAAACACGAGACACAAAAATGAATTCAAAATGGATTAAAGCCCTAAATCTAAGACCAGGCACTATAAAACTCTTAGAGGAAAATGTAGGCAGAAGATTCTTTTGACACAAATCTCAGCAAGATGTTTTTTGATTCACTTCCTATAGTAATTAAAATAAAAACAAAAATAAACAAATGGTATCTAATGAAACTTAAAAGCTTTAGCACAGCAAAAGGAAACCATTAACAAAAGAAAAAGACATCCTCAGAATGGGAGAAAATATTTGTAAACAAAGCAACTGATGAGGGATTAATCTCCAAAATATACAAAGAGCTCCAGCAGCTCAATATCAAAAAACTAAATAATCAAAAAATGGAAGACCTAAATACACATTTCTCTAAAGACATACAAATGGCCAAAAAGCACATGAAAAGATGCTCATCATCACTAATTATTAGCGAAATGCAAATCAAAACTATAGTGAGGTATTACCTCACACCGGTCAGAACAGCCATCATCAAAAAGTCTATAAACAATAAATGCTGGAGAAGGTGTGAAGAAAAGGGAACCCTCCTACACTGCTGGTGGGAATATCAACTGGTACAGCCACTATGGAGAACTGTATGGAGTTTCCTTGAAAAACTAAAAACAGAGCTACCATATGACCCAGCCAGGCATACACCCAGAGAAAACCGTTAACTCAGAAAGATACATGCACCCAAATGGTGACTGCCACACACAACAGCCAGGACACGGAAGCAATCTAAAAGTCTATCAACAAAGGACTAGATAAAGAAGATGTGACGCATACACACAACAGAGTATTACTCAGCAGTAAAAAAAAAGAAAGAAAGAACAAAATAATGCTATTTGCAGCTATATGCAGCACTTACTGAGTGAAGTCAGTAAGACACAAAAAGACAAATCTTACATGACACTGCTTATAGTGAGTGAGTGGAAGTCAGTCAGCCATGTCCGACTCTTTGCAACCCCATGGTCTATCCATGGGAATTCTCTAGGCTTCTTGCCTAGTGTGGGTTGCAACTCCCTTCTCCAGGGGATCTTCCTGACCCAGGGATTGAACTCAGGTCTCCTGCATTGCAGGCAGATTCTGTACCATCTGTGCTACCAGGGAAGCCCATAGATTACACGTGGAATCTAAAAAAATTAAAAAAGGGTAGGGGTACAAATGAACTTATTTACAAAACAGAAGTCGAGTCATGGATACGGAAAACAAGCTTATAGTTACCAGGGAATGGAGAGGCTGGGTGGCAAGAGATAAACTGGGAAAATGGGACTGACGTATACACACTACTATATATAAAATAGGTAACTAGCAATAACCAGCTGCATAGCACAGGAAACTCTACTTAATACTCTGCAGTGGACTAAATGGGAAAAGAATCTTTAAAAAAAAAAAAAAGAGGAGCATGTATCTTGATTGTGAATAGCTACAAGTTTAATTTTAAAAGTGCAATATGGTTTTTAGGAATTTATGTACTGAAAACATTTTCTGTTTCCTAAGTTCTGGAACACGAACCAAATTCCAACATAACTGAAGGATCCAGTGACTCCAGGCCACCATGCGCCTGCATGCTCAGCCACTGAGGGAGGCCCCGGGGCTACCACACTTTCTCTTAAGTGCAACAGGCTCATCAAGAGGAAAGAGCACTCACCTGATAAACACGTCATTAGGCCCAAGGCAAGCATAGCACCAGCCAACACTGTCAAACGGTTATAGCGCATCGCCATGATGGCTGCTATAAAAAACGTCTTATCACCCAGTTCAGATACAATGATAACTGATATGGCAGCCACAAATGCATGGATAAATCCCAAATTAGTTTGGGTAGCTGGATCTTCTTTATTGGTATGAACTGGAGCAGCTGGTGTAAATCCTTTCTGAAATTAGAAAATACATATTAGCTATATTTTAAAAAGTCATTATTTTAAATTATTTTACTTGTAGGTGAGTTGAGATTGTTTTTCTATTGTAGTCATTAGACTTATTTACTATCTAACCACTGCCTTAGTGGTGACAGCAACCTCTGATTGATGGTTGCTAAAGTGGAAATCCAAGCACAAGTCTACAAAACAATTTAGAAAAAGAGCCGAGACCAGCTATAGCCACACATTAAAATTACCTTATTTTCTAAATGCGTGTGAATTGAGTTTTTAGCTATGCCTCAGTCAAATCTTTATTCATAATTTAGGTGTAAGACCCAAGGTATCCTTATCAAACTTTCAAGTAACAGGAAGCTGAGAGAAATTTCATGAATACTTAAGAGAACAAAGCAGGATCCAGAAAGTTCTCCGTAGGCTAGAGGAAGAGCTGGCTCTAGCTCAGCTGAGATCTAATATCGCTGGATATATGGATGGTCCTACACCAATACCCTAGGCTGTAACGCGGCCTAATAAAGAAGATAAGCTGAGTCTTTGTTGCTGTTAAGGCCATTTTGAGTTGAAAATGTGACAAAGTTCCAAGAAAGCAGCAAGCACTTTAAAGAGTTAATGACAAGCCCATCTTCTGAGCCTCCCAGCCCTCACCCAGAGTTCTGTACTGGGTCTGAGGCACCACATTCTAAGAGGGCACCACTGCCCTCTGAAGGTAACCTCAGACAGAAGAGACTCTAAAACCAGGGACTGGCAAGCTACTGGTAAGAGTAGATCCAGCTGAAAATGATTTTTTTTTTCATTTTTTATGGGATTGCAAAAATAGAAAAAGGGAAGGAGGGAGGTAGAGGGCTGGAGAGAAGTAGGAAAGGAACATTAGACAACAGAGACCTTAAGGGAGCTTACAAATACGTGGCCAAACCTAAAATATTTATTATCTGGCTCATGACCAAAAAAAAGGTTTGCTAACTCAGGCTCTAAAACAATCACATAAGGACTGAGTGCCTATGTTCCAATAACTGAGAAAGTCTATGTGAAAGTCTCTGTGGGCCCAAGAGGTAGAAGTAAAAAGTTATAGGTGGCAGGTTATATTTAGCTTAACACCTAGAAAAAAGTTATACCCCATGAGGGTTTCCAGAGGTTGAAATGGACTGCTGGCCTGCATGCATTCTCAATTGTGTCCGACTCTTTGTGACCCCATGGATTGTAGCCTGCCAGGTTCCTCAGTCCGTGGGATTTTTCAGGCAAGAATATTGGGAGTGGGTTGTCGTTTCCTCCTCCAGGGGGCCTTCCCAACCCAGGGATGAAACTATCGTCTTCTACATTGACAGGCCGCTTCTTTACCCCTGAGCTACCTGGGAAGCCCATATGATATAAGCTTGACTTCCAAAGTCCACGATAAAGATCAGAAAACTTTACTAAAGCATTACTCAGACTAGACCTCTAAGGTAAAGATTTGGGAAATTTAACAATTCAGAAAATATTCGGCGTTAGGGTTAAATCGAAAGGGCAGCCTTGGAAGGCCAGCTCATGATTAACCAAGTACCATTTTAAGAGATTCTAGCTCTCTCACCATCATCATTCCAACTATGCTGGTTTTCCTTTGAAAATGAGTTTCCTTTCTATTTCGATACCATAAGAGTGGAGAAGGCAATGGCAACCGATTCCAGTACTCTCGCCTGGAAAATCCCATGGACGGAGGAGCCTGGTGGGCTGCAGTCCATGGGGTCGCAAAGAGTCAGGCATGACTGAGCGACTTCACTTGCACTTTTCACTTTCATGCATTGGAGAAGGAAATGGCAACCCACTACAGCGTCCTTGCCTGGAGAATCCCAGGGATGGGGGAGCCTGGTGGGCTGCCGTCTATGGGGTCGCACAGAGTCAGACACGACTGAAGTGACTTAGCAGCAGCAGCAGCAGCAAGAGCATTAAACATGATAAAAAAAAAATATGCATTTTCATTCAGTTTTCACTAATGCAACATTTTCCTCTTGGAAATACTTTTTGTATGAAAAAAATCTTGCTGCAAAATATTTAGGACCCGAAATCCAAGAAAATATTTTAGGAATAAATATACACCATTTACAACCAATTTCAAACAGAAAATGTTTACTTTTAAAAACAAACACAATAGTGATCAAAACACATATTCTCATAGTTTCTTATTTCCCAGCTATAAAACAGAGGCCACATTACTTAGCCTCTCCATTCCTCTATGAAATTATGAGGATAAAATAAAACTTGCCTTATAAGCACAAAGCAAAACAAAAACTGATGCCTGTGAACTATGGTGTTGGAGAAGACTCTTAAGAGTCCCTTGGAAAGCAAGGAGATCAAACCAGTCAATCCTAAAAGAAATTAATCCTGAATATTCATTAGAAGGACCAACGCTTAAGTGGAAGCTCCAATATTTTGGCCACCTGATGCAAAGAGCCAACTCATTGGAAAAGACCCTGATGCTGGGAAAGATTGAAGGCAGGAGGAGAAAGGGACGACAGAGGATAATATGGTTGGATGGCATGACCGATTCAACGGACATGAGCAAACTCATGTTTGAGCAAACTCAGAGAGATAGTAAAGGACAGGAAGCTTGGCATGCTGTAGTACACAGGGTCACAGAGAATCACAAACAACTCAGTGACTTAACAACAGCAAAACAAAAACTACATATTCTTAAAATCTTTCTATATACAGAGCATTAAAAAAAATCAACTTATAGTTTTTGTTATATATTGAACTGGTCCTGGACAGTCCAAATTAGTGTTAAACAGCAACCAACTGTGGTGTGATTAAGAATTTAAAACAAAAGTACCAGGGTATTATGTGTGTATGTGTGTGTCTATGTGCACACTCAATTGTGTCCATTTGCGACCCCATGGACTGTAACCCACAAGGCTCCCCTATTCGTGGAATTTTCCAAACAAGAATATGGAGTGGTTGTCATTTCCTCCTCCAGGGGATCTTCCCGACCCAGAAAAGGAATCTGCATCTTGGGCAGCTCCTGCATTGGCAGGTGAATTCTTTACCACTAGGCCACCTGGGAAGCCCACTATGAAGACAGAAGATTTAAAAATTTAAATTTTTATAAATGCAGAAAATGATCAATTACTATTCATTCATTTGTTGTCAATTACCCAAGTAATTACTATGTGCAGGGACCAGCTTCTTTTCCTAGTTCAACTTCAGAGGGGCAGAATGTAATGGTTTAATACATGGGCTCAGGAGTCAAGACTGTCAGAGTTCACAGCCAAGACACTACTGGTTACTGTATGACCTTGGGCCAGCAAGTTTACCACCCTGTGACTCAAGTCACATCTCTATGATGAGGGGCATCTATCATAGACTGGTAAGGTTGTTGTTGTTAGGATTAAGTGAAGTACTACACATAAAGCCCTAAGAACGGTGCCTAACACACAGTAAACAGTCACAGTCAGTTATTACAGCACACCACAAATGTGACCAGTTAAATCACCCCAAAACGAACTTCATCATGACCCTCTTAAGCCTAGAACATAAGATACAAATACTTAATTCTGGTAACTATACAACATGTCCCATGTGATCACATACTGATTCCCAAAATGAACCGTACATTTCCTAGTGAAGGCTGAGCCAGAGCAACCCTGTCCAACAGTAAATAATGCAAAAGCCACACAATGTAACTTTTTAATTTCTAGGGAATTCTTTAGCAGTCCAGTGGTTAGCCAGATATGAAAAAATAAGAACAGATAAAATTATTTTTAATATTATTTTATTTAACCCAACAGACCCCAAATACTACTCAAGGAATATTTTTCAAATGACTAATAAGATATTTAACCCTCTTTTTTTTTTTTTTTTTACCAAATCTTCCAATGCCAGTGTGTATCTATTCACTGCACACATCTCATGCACCTCTCAATTCGGACCTGCCACATCTTCTCAAGTGCTTAAGAACAGTCACATGGCTCACAGCTGTAGTACCGAACAGTGCAGTTCAAGAGTACATTTTTGGTAACCACAAGCTTTCTATCATGCAGTCCTACTTCCCTTCCTACCTTCCTATTATCCTCCTATTTATCTAGATTCCTCAAGATCCAACTTCTGTGGAACCTCTTGAGCAATGCCTACCCCAACAACCCCAGCCCCTAAGGATCCCACTCTCCTCAAACTGAAGGCATACAGTGGGCAGTGAGTCATGGCAAGTACAGGACTGAAACAGTTTGAGAAAGGAACACTCAGGAAGTTAACCTTTTTGTACTAGAAACAAGTATAAACATATTGTTGTCATTTGTAATAGTTAAAAGAGACAAAATAACTAAATGCCCATACACAGGGAACTGGTTAATAAATGGTAGTTCCATTTACTGGAATATTATGGGCTAAAAGTAAGAATGTTTTATATACACTATTAAGAAAATAAAAATTACTAAGACATTTTTAAGTTAAAAAAAGTATGTCCCATGTATGTGGTCACTGTATTATATTAAGGGGCGGGGAGTCAGGCAGGTTTATAAAGTATACACACAGTTGCTAATGCTCAAGAAATCTCAGGAAACAGTAACAGTGGCCAGGGAAGGAACCAGGATGACTAGAACAGGTGTGGGCAAACTTTCTCTTAAAGGGCCAAATATTTAACTTTTTGAGCCATAAAGTTTCTTTGGTAATTACCCAACTCTGGTGCTATGGTCTGAGATCAGCCATAGGTAATATTGAATGAATGGCCTAGCTCTATTCTAATAAAACTTTACTTACAAAAAGGGGCAGTCAGTGATAAACTAGTTTGCTGACCCCTGCGCTAGAAAAAGGAAGACACACTTTTCATTCTACATTCTTCTGTACCTTTTGGATTTTTCACCATGCTCACGATTAAAGACACCTATTGTGCACCACTTCAAAAATCACTTGACCCAATCTCTTACTCCAGCCATGGATGATCAATTCTGCAAGCTCTAACTGGCTTCAGGCAGATCCAACCAGAAAGTAACTGTTCTTCACACCCTTATTCACTACACTACCTAGAAGTGTGG